ACACCTATGGATGAGGACAGTGGGTGGGGAGTGAGGGCGGAGGGTGGGGTGGGAACTGGGAGGAGGGGAGTTACGGGGGGAAAAAAGAGGAACAAATGTAATAATCTGAACAATAAAGGTTTAATTAAAAAAAAGAAAAAAAAAGAAATGAATTGTGCCTAAAAGTATGAAGCAACCATCTTCAGATATTATTTTATTCATGTATTCACTGTAGAAATTGGAGGCATGCAAAAGTAGAAGAGGATTCTTTGCTTTTATCAGACTCTCCGAGAGGTTGTTGGATGATTGGTTGGTGCGTTCATTTACTCAAGTGTTTGAGGGGCACTTATTATATATTATATATTGTTCTAGACCCGGAGGCTCTTCACAGCATAAAAAAATAGGAATCAAGACCTTTACGAAATTTACATTCTAATGAAGGCCAGAAAAGACAAATATTAAACAAATAAAATGCATAGTATGTAAAATGGTGTAAGTTCTCTGCAGAAAAACTTTGCAAAGAAGGGGGTCAGGAAGTGTTGTGGGGGTGTACCAGAAAGGTCACACTGATTAATGCCATTTCAACATGATACATTCATTTTCTAAAACTTTCATAATCTAAAAATTATCAACCCACAGAGAAGTCATTTTAAAAAACCATATATTTCTGTATTTCTACAGTTACTATTTGGGCTACTTTGCAGCAATATAATTAAAAGCAAAGACAGCCCTAGCTGGTTTGGCTCAGTGGATACAGCGTTAGCCTGGGGATTGGAGGGTCCTGGGTTCGATTCTAATCAAGGGCACATGCTCGGGTTGCAGGCTCGATCCCCAGCAGGGGGTGTGCAGGAGGCAGCTGATCAATGATTCTCTCTCATCTCTGATGTTTCTATCTCTACCTCCCTCTCCCCTCCTCTCTGAAATCAATAAAAATATATTTAAAAAAAATAAAATAAAAGCAAAGACAGAAAAATAAATGCCTAACAAAAAATCGTTTCTCACACTATGATGCTAGGACATAGGAGTTACTTGAAGTGAAAATGTTAGTATCTTACAGTCTCTTTTGAGCAATTACTGCTTTATCTATACTGTCTTTCTTTTAATATTCAAGAAACCATTTCTCTGTAGTGTTATAAGGTCAAGGATCTCAGTGCATGTGCTTGTAAGATAATACAAGTACTGCATAACTCTAATGTAATGAGGGAAGAGCTAAAATGTCAAAAAGAAACTGGGACTTGAAGAGAGACGTGAGCTGTCCTCTAAAATCAGAAGACTTATCATAAGACATAGGAACCCTCTTACTCTAAAGCAGAGACACAGATACAGCCTCTGCCGTGAGAAGAACCCCAATCCACCTTTACTAAGTCTATTCAGGAAAACTACAGGAGCATCTGATGGGGTATAAGAAAAAAAAAATCATAATATAAAAAGAATTCAAACACCACTTATATGAAACAAACTTTAAAATCCCTCCCAACTGTACTTAAGACTTGATATTGATGATATTAATAGTTAATGTCACCTAGGAAATGTCTTGAAACTGGATTGTGGTGATGACTGCACAACTCCCTACTTAAATTTACTGAAAGACACTGAATTGTATATTTACAGCGGATTAATTTTATGGTATGCACATTACACCTCAATCAAGTTGGGAAAAAAACTTAACAAAAAGTCTGGCTGGCATGGCTCAGTGGTTGAGCATCGGTCTATGAACCAGGAAGTTACAGTTTGATTTCTGGTCAGGGCACATGCCTGGTTGGGGCTCAATCCCCAGTGTGGGGCGCGCAGGAGGCACCGATCAATGATTCTCTTTCATCATTGATTTTTCTATCTTCCTCTACTTACTCTCTGAAATCAATAAAAATATACTGGGGAAAAAAACAACAAAGAGTAGGGTTGGGAAGATATGTCACCATACTGATAACAAATGAAGCTGGATAGTGAGGGTTTGTTATACTATTCTACCCACTTCTGAATTAAATTTTTAATTATAAGAAATTAAAATTTAAAAATTCATCTAGAAAAACACTTCTTTGGGGGAAAAAACAAAGATTCTAAAAAGAGCTTTGATTTGAACCTAGGGGACCACTCCAGAGATTATACTCTTGACCTTACGTGTATCTTGCTGGGCTGTTTTAAATCCATTCCAGAACATGTAAGCAAATATTGAATACAAATAGCTCAAGAATAAAAAGTACTAAGGAAATAAAACTAAACCATGTCAGTATTTGATTCACTTATTCAATATTTGAGTATATAATATACTCTAGGTATAGTATTATGAAGGAAGAAAAACAAACAAAAAAAAGGATTTTTAAAAAAGGAAAGAAAAAAATAAACTCTACCAACATACCAAGTTAAGAACTATATTATGTGACCAAGCAATTCCATAAAAACTTGTACTCAAATGTTCATAGCAATACTATTAATAGTAGCCAAAAAGTAGAAATAATTTAAAAAGTCCCTCAACTGATGAATAAACAAAATGTGAAATATCAATCCAATGGGATAATATTTAGCCATAAAAATGGATGAAGTTTTAATATATGCTATGACATGAATGAATCTTAAAAACATTATTCAAAGTGAAAGAAGCCAATCACAGGAAACTGCACATATCCATCTATATATATATATATATATATATATGAAAGCTAAGTGACCGGAATGACAGGTCACTATGACACACACTGCGGCTGGCCAACCAGCCCCTGTGGGTGGGGGCAGCCGGCCAACCTCCCTCGGCCCCTCCCCCCAGCTGGACCCCACCCGTGCACGAATTCGTACACCAGGCCCCTAGTATTATATGAAAGGCCTAGATTAGACAAATCCATAGAAAGAAAGTAGATCAGTAACTGTCTAGGCCAAGCGAGGAGGGGGCACGTTGGGGAAAAACAGGAAGTGACTGATAATGAGTACAGGGTCTCTTTTGGGGTAATAAAATTTTTCTAAAATTGACTGAGGTGATGATTAAACAACTCTGCAAATAAACTCACCCCGCCCCCCCGAAATGTATATTTTTAATGGGCAAATTGTTTGGTATGTGAATTAGATTTTGATAAAGCTGTTAAAAAAATAACAACACGCCCTAACAGGTTTGGCTCAGTGGATAAGAGCGTCAGCCTGCAGACTCAAGGGTCCCAGGTTTGATTCCAGTTGAGGGCATGTGCCTTGGTTGCGGGCACATACCCAGTGGGGCGTGTGCGGGAGGCGGCTGATAGATGTTTCTCTCTCATTGATGTTTCTCTCTCATCGATGTTTCTGACTCTCTATCCTTCTCCCTTTCTCTCTGTAAAAAAATCAATAAAATGTATTAAAAAAAATTACCTTAACATCACAAAAACAAACAAGGACTATATGTATTACGTAGAACAAGTAATAAAGGAAAGGAGACAGACACATGTTTCCTGAGCAAGACTGAGCCCCTAGGAAAGGAATACATGGTATCCTGCTCACTTTTGTATCCCCAGTGTTTACCACTTCAGGTATATGCAACATCTGTTGAATAAACAGAGCAATTAAACAGAATTTCAAGGTAGAGTCCTGGCTCTACAACTTGTACAATATTAGAGAAGCCCAAAGTCAGAACTATATTGAGTAGAGGTTTAAATGCTGTGTGTCAAACACATGGTGATTTAGTACTAAGTTTCACAGACAGGGCCTGTCAATACAGAGCATATTTACAGTTTTCAAAGTATACTGGCATTGATTTTTTAAAATTGTATAGCCTGAGACAGAAAAGAGTATCAGGTCAAACAAAGTAGACTGAAAAACAGAATACATTTTTCTGTATACCTGTGCTGAGAACATTACTGATAGCTGGTGCAGTTGAGCTAATAGAAAGTCCTGAGAGACTCTGTTCAATTTCTGTGGTTCCAGGCGGTGACAAAGATGGGGGATTAACCGAGGACAGCTGGACCTTCCGGAAAAAAAAGAAGTAGAAAGAAAAAAAATTACTCAAGTGTATTTACAAGAAAATATAAATATTGACTCTCACCGGTCCTCTCGTGAGCTTCCTTTCTCTGCCCATCTATTTAAATACTAGAAATATTCAAGATTCCAATGTCAGTCCTTCGACTCACTCAGAGGCCAATCCCTTGACAATTTTTATTAATGCTCATTGGGTTAAATTACCCTCTCTTTTCTGATGATTCCCAAATCTGTATCTCTAGCCTTGTCTTCTTTCTTAAAATCCAGACCTGTAGAATATCCAAATGTATATTCAAATTCAGCATGGTCAATACTTAACCCATCATCTACCCTACAACAATTAGTGCTATCACCACATACATCAACACTCAAGTCATTTTGGTGGAAACTTTATGATATAATCATACAGTAAAGTTATCTTACCTCTGTAAACCCATCTTTAAGAGGAGTAATAGGTGTACCAGTCATCTGTCCTGGAAGAGATATTTTCTTTCCTTCTTCAAAGGGGCGTGTAGGTATTCGATGTAAATAACCATATCCAATGCCACATCCTAGGCTATGAAAAAAAAATATTTTTAAAAGTTACTGTTACCAGTTATAGCTTGCATTTCATTGAGGTTTTGAAATATAAAAACACATTTCCATTCTTTTAAATAATGTCATCTTATCAGAGGCTCCCCTGACCACCCTCTTATGAAATACCACCCTTTTCTCCACCATGGGCATTACCCTTACTCTATTTTTCTTCAAGTATTTATTACCATCCAACACACCATATACTATTTTCTGTCTCCCTTAATAAAATGTTAAAGTTCTTGTTTTGTTTAATGCCGTGAGCAGTTCCTGACACATGGCAGACACTTAATAATTATTTGCTGAATGAATGCCATAGTCTTTGCACAGAAGAGCTCCAAGCACTTCTGTATGATATGTAATTTACACATCTCATAGTTCTATTTCAAAACACAACAAAAATCAATCCAAATTAATCCAGACTCCAATTCATCCTCTTACTGTTACCAGAGACCATCTTTTTTTTTTTTTAAAGGGGAGAATGATGATTTTTTAAAAATATATTTTATTGATTTTTTACAGAGAGGAAGGGAGAGGGATAGAGAGTTAGAAACATCGATGAGATAGAAACATTGATCAGCTGCCTCCTACACACCCCCTACTGGGGATGTGCCTGCAACCAAGATACATGCCCTTGACCGGAATCGAACCTGGAACCTTTGAGTCCGCAGGCTGACCCTCTATCCACTGAGCCAAACTGGTTAGGGCGAGGCCATCTTTTTAATGATATGATTACATTGCTTCTTTCCATAGTCTATTGGCCTCCCAATATTTATTTTTCCTTCTCCCTTTTGGAGAATTATTTCTCTGCTGTTGTGTGCCGTACTGGTGTGACTGTCAATCAGAAGGCCTCTCCTGCCCAAACCAAGGAGTTGCTAATGACCAAAGCCAATCCATCTTTCCTGCCCATGGCTACAAATCTTGGGAGTGACAGAAAACCAAAAACATTCATCCCTTCAGTAGAATACTGATGAAATTGCCAAAGCCCTTCCGTTCTAAATTCCTAGAGGTGTTCTGGGTTCTATCCTTCCCAAGTCTGATTCTTTAACTGTTTCTTTGATTATAAGAGTGATTCCCCAACAATAAAGTCATGTCTGCTTAGCAGCGGTTCTCAACCTGTGGGTAGCGACCCCTTTGGGGGTCGAACGACCCTTTCACAGGGGTTGCCTAAGACCATTGGAAAACACATATATAATTACATATTGTTTTTGTGATTAATCACTATGCTTTAATTACGTTCAATTTGTAACAGTGAAATTGGGGGTCACCACAACATGAGGAACTGCATTAAAGGGTTGCAGCATTAGGAAGGTTGAGAACCACTGGCTTACAGCAATGACAGTTGGTTTCTACTGTTTGGAACCAAAGAGCCCCCACTGATACAATATCATCGTCCTACTGACCAAAGTATATACAAATTTCCTGACCATGGTATTTAAGGCCCATCACAATCAGGTTCCAACTGTTTCTATCGTGATTGCTTTTTTTAAAAAAATATATTTTATTGATTTTTTACAGAGACAGAGGGAGAGGGATAGAGTTAGAAACATCAATGAGAGAAAAACATCGACCAGCTGCCTCCTGCACACCTCCCACTGGGGATGTGCCCGCAACCAAGGTACATGCCCTTGACCGGAACTGAACCTGGGACCCTTCAGTCCGCAGGCCGATGCTCTATCCACTGAGCCAAACCGGTTTGGCTATCGTGATTGCTTTTATTTCCCAAACTACTTGACACTTTCTGAGTAGGCCAGGCAGACATGTCTGTGCCTCCCCCCTACCAAGGCATTTATTATTTCTGTGTATTACCACCACCAAAAGCTGGGAGAGCAGGCAGTGGCCAACTTAAGCTTTTCCTTATCCAAATCTGATTTCACAATGATGCTTCACATTACAAAATTACTTGTTCCTGCTCTTACTTTTTTCCCCTTTCCTTCTACCAGCAAAACTGCAATTCTCACTGAACTGGATCTCAGATAAATTTGAAGGGAATAAGATTAAATAATTTACACTGATCGATGATAGCCATTCCGAGGTAGTTACATTTTAAAACAAGGTGCTTATTAATCAAAATAACTAAGTGGTGATAGAGAGGCACTTGAAGGCAACAGCAAGACATTCTGCGAACTTAAAGCTAGCCCAAGAATGAAACTAAGAGAAATATGCTGTAATGAATGAAATGTGGACAGCCTCAGAGGAGGGAATAAAAACCAGAAGCAGACACATGACAAATGAGAGTAGACTCAGGAAAATGGTATGTATGGGCCTGTTTAAAGCAATGGCTGATCAATGGTAGTACGTCATGTCAAAAGGAAAAATGTCTTCCAAAGAAAAGGTATAATTGCCAGAGTCTAGAAAAGAAGGGCTCTAAGAACAAGAATGTAGCATTGTAATTAAAAATTAAAGAACTAGTGATGACTTCCCCATCTGCAGAATCTCTTCCTTGCACGTTCATCTTGTGGTACTAATCGGACCTAAGTATTCTAACTGGAGAACCTATTAGTTTCTTTTGTAAACTGAAAATTTGGCATTCTAATAAATACAGCAGCTTCCTTAAAAATTTAGTTTTATGTGGCAGTCCCTCTGAAATTAGTTGACTTTGAATGTCTTAAGATCATATTCTGTGGCTATAAACCTGGACAATGAACTATGACAACTTGATCAAGTACTGCTTCAGGCGGGCCAGATTCTTAAAATGAGAGCTCTATCTCATTTTCTCAAATTGCAACAACTTAGCATTCTGATGGCAACATAGACTCTCAGGTAGTGTGGGTAAAGGTAATAGTGTGAGCAAATAGAGGTTTTTCTCTGCCTGCATCAACTAAGTCATCCTTTTCCCAGCAAATGGCAGAACTTTTACAAAACACTTGGAAGTTTCCAAACCCTAAGCTTTCCTATAATAATTACTATCCTATATAATAAAAGGCTAATATGCAAATAGACTGAACAGCATAACAACAACCAGTCACTATGACGTGCACTGACCACCAGGAGGTCTGCACAGAACATGGCGGATGTCGACAGCAGGGGGCAGAGTGCAGAACATGGTGGGCGTCGGCCGTGGTGGGATAGTGGAGCAGTGAGTGGGGGCGTCAGACCAAGGCGGGGTGCCGGTCGCTGTCATCAGGGAGAGCCTCTGGTAGTTACTGAAAACTTTTTGTTCCCATGCGCCATGGTACTGGCTGGCATTTGCACCCACTGCCGGCGCTACCGCTTGCACCCACTGCCAGCGCCAGGCGCTGTCCCAATTGCCCCTGAGGGGTTCTCCACCTCCCCCTGCTCCTGAGGGTCGATTGGGGCAGCAGCCGCCCCACTCGCACCCACTACTGGCACCGGCACCAATGGCTCCACACCTTCAGTGGGTTTGAGTGGGGTTGGCACCATCATTGTGTGGGAGCAGCAGCAGTGGGAGTGGGGCTGCCGGCAGACAGGGAACTGGGTAGTAGGGGCCGGGCAAGGGCGCAGAGGATGGGCTGAGACCCGCCCCTGTGCCCACTTCAGCCTCGTGGCCCACAGTTCCTTTCAAGGTGCACGAATTTGTGCACTGGGCCCCTAGTGATTAATAATTCTTCAAATTAAAAAAGGCTTAGGACTTTCAAAATGTTGAAAAATTTGTACAGTTTAAGCAACAGCTGAAAGAACTAAAAAAAGCAATGTAAATCAGCATGCTTTGCTTTAGCTTTTCGAAATTAGGGAACTGACTTGATAAACAGTCCCAGAAAACTGATTTTATAAAATCTGTTTACCTGCTTGGCTTGATCCTCTTTCTAAATTGAGTTTTATGGTTATTGCAATTTTGTCTAATTCTTGGTTGAAATCAGCCTATCTATTTCTGAAAGCCAACAGTTTCCACAAAGTCTAAGAAATCTTCCCAGCAGCTAGAGAAAGTTACACTTTATTGTCCCATTGTTGAAGAGGGGAATTAGGAAAATAAAGTAAAACTGAACTATTTGATTAAAATAACAAAACAAAAGTAGGCTATTAGCTCTTAGGTCAGAAAAAAAAAAAGGACTATAGTCTATATACCAGTCTTCCTAAATATGCACTTTAAAAGAAGAATTATTGCTCGGCCAGTGCGGCTTGGTAGTTGAGCTTCGACTCATGAACCAAGAGGTCCCAGGTTCAACCCCCAAAAGGGGGACATGCAGGAGGCAGCTAGCTGATCGACGTTCCTCTCTCATCAATGTTCCTCTCTCTCTATCCCTCTCCTTTCCTATCTCTCTTAAAAAATAAAATTAAAATTAAAAAAAAATTAAACATTTCTTAAAATGAATTTAGGTTCAATATTCTAGATCAGGGGTGGGGAACATCCGGCCTACAAGCCATATAAGGCTCTCGAAATCAATTGGTCTGGCCCAGCCAAGGCAACCACAGGCGGGAATCAAAATTCAATAAATCTAGGAGCTTTGTTCATAGCAACATAAATTTATATTAAGTGAATTATATTCAGTGAATGATGTTATAAATATCCAAATGGCCCTTGGCAGAAAAAAGGTCCCCCACCCCTGTTCTAGGTCAACGCTTTCCTTTTTTCAAGAGATGTCTTATAATAAAGCACTAATAAAAGACAAACATGCAAATTGACCTTACCTTCGCTACCCCTTAAGCCACGCCCCCCAGCCAATCAGAGCAACTATATGCAAATTAACCCAACCAGGATGGCAGCCAGCAGCCACGGAGCTGGAGCAAGCAAGAGGCTTGGTTGCCCCAATGATGGAGGAATCCAAGCTTCCTGGCTCTGAGCTCCACTCAAAGCAACAAAGTTTCAATTAGAGAAGGCATATAAACCCCAGATACCTGCTTTCAGCTGGCTGTGGCCATGGAGCTAGAGCGAGCAGGAGGCTTCCCTCCCGCCCACCCTGGCCGGCTCTGAGCTCCTCTCAAGGCTACAAAGTCTCAATTATAGAAGGTAAATAAATCCCAGAATTAAAAAAAGAAAAGGAATAAAAGGAGAGGCTGGGAGCTTCTGTCACCGGGGGGCTTGGCCAGCCTGAAAACAGCCCTAAGCCCCTCACCCAGGCTGGCCAGGCACCCCAGCGGGACCCCCATCCTGATCCGGGACACCCTTCAGGGCAAACCAGCCGGTCCCCATCCATGCACCAGGTCTCTATCCTATATAGTAAAAGGGTAATATGCCTCCCAGCACCGGGATCAGCGGAGCCGTGAGACCTCCCAGC